TACAGAACAATAAAATTGTGAAACTGTTTGCAGCTGATGCAGAAAAAGTCGAGGAATAAGATTTAAAGTTGCATTTAATTATTTATTTATAGCACTCATCATCTAGGAAATGCAGAGACTTTAAATGCTGAAAAATGTCTTAGTGTTTTTCACAAACTTTAGACGCTCATACACTCTGAACAAAGGTTCAGAGGATATTCCAGGAATGGCGCTATTTTCCAGAGAACTTACTGGTCAGTAGGTAGTAATTTCATAACTGTTGATCTGTAATCTAGAATCAATAGGTAATGTGTCAAAAACAATTTTAGTCTTTTGCCAGTAAGTTAAAGCTTATCTCAATTATGATAAACCTTTCTCTCTGAAGTTGATTGGTGTCAGATTTGTTAATAATTCGTCAATATTTAGGACCACGGTCATAAAATTCACATTAAAATACCATGTTTTTGTAAGGAACCAAGATAAATGATTTCTGATTTTTGTTTTTCACTTTTGTGACCTTTAACCTGCACAATGAAACTGACAAAACAAAAATAAATGTAACTAATATGGTTACATAAGTGTACACACTCTTATAAGTAGAGGTGTAGGTAATTTCAGAATTAATCCAACCTAAACACTTGTCAGTACACACCTGTCATCGGTTAAAGTGACTCTGTTTAAAGTTAAATGAATTCCAGTTGTTCTAGTTGGACTTTCATGACATTTATTTAGCTGCATCTTACAATTTCAAATGGATCTCACGTTTAAAAGGTATCAGTGAGGAGGAGGGTACAAAAGAAGTTTAGATAAAGTCTTTTAAAGTTACTGTGATCCAGGGAATCAGGTGATGGCTACTTTTTGAAAAGAATCAGGAGACTCTTTTCCGTTATTGTGCCAGATTTCAGTTTTTTACTGTAAGGTATAGCAGAGGAAGAAAAGCATTGCATAAGAAAGGGTCGAAATATTGTTCCTTTTCTGCTCAGCCCCACAAAAAGCGCAGGAGCATCAACTCCATCTTGGTGGCAGCAGGATGACTTTACCTCACACAGGCATCTTGTCTGAACGCCCACACCTCCCTTCTTAATAATTAATTTATCCAAGTATTCCCTACAACAGCCTATTTATAGAAGGCTTCACCAAACATCTCTGTGCTCATTTTCAAAGTGCAGCTGAAATACAAGGCAGAGTCTAGGCGGTGGTGCGATATTTTCTTCTCTTAACGTGTTCTTTCCTCCATTTCTTGCTTCTGTTTCACTAATTCTTTCAGTTTCTTTGACTACACACATAGTTTACATGTGTTCTTTCACAGACCGCAGCCTGTTCTAATACACTACATCATAAATGCTGTGATGAAGTAATTGCTGTCAGCTGTGTAGTGTGATAGCTTTCCAGTTCTGTGATCTAAAAATAGACTTTTCACCACCTTTGGAGAGTAATTACAGACAGTAACTGTAATTAATAGGATATTGCTTTTGAATTGTTCTTTCAGAGGGTTGTTATAAGATGTATAAAATCTGTAAAACAGCAGCTGTTCTAACATTATTCAATAATAGATAATAAGAGTTATAAAGCCTAGGAGATCATGAGGATAGTGGTGCATATCCAGCAGAATGCACTGCAGACCCCTAATTTCAGAGGGTCAGGCAGCTGTAATTTTTTTAAATTACTTGATGTATAGATACATTCATTAAATAATTATTTATACTAATTTAATCAGTCTTTTTGTCAGGATGCTTGAATATTCACAGAGCATGATCAATGCCCCCTGACATGTATTATGAAGTCAGCAGAGCTTAAATCAGACTGAACCCAGTGTGCATCTCAGGTAATGATTGTTCACACTGTGTGGCTGTGATGCATAAATGCACACTGCCCATGTGCATGTGGACTGAATATTTATGGACCAGCACTGACCTGGGCCTTGAAAGTCAGTTTGATATATTCGAGTATGTGGAGAACCAAATATTAAATGCATATGTGATTAGTGTGCTGGTTTCACAGCCTCCACTCTTCAGATGGCTTTTGACAAGATTTTATAACCTTGCTGCCAAAATGCGATTAGTGATGTCAGCCCCTGATGTTTGACAGTACGGTCATACCTTGATGGGATTTAAGTCAGGCCAGTAAAAATTCTCTTCAACAAACTGGAAAAAACGTTTTGTTATGGGCTTTGCTTAAACCCTGAGAACACTGAAGCAGGAGAAAGTATTCCTCAAACCGTTGCTGTATGCCATAGTGTTTACATTTCCCTTAGCCGCAAGGGTAAATTTGTTGTATTTGTAATGATTTGACTTATTATTTCAATGAAATACGTGTTTGAGGGAGTTATAAGTAGCTTGTTTCATGTGAAAGAAGAGAAGGATTAAATCTTGAGTGTCTGTTTTAATCATGTGCAATCAAAAAAATGCAGAAAATGGATGTGTTGACAACTATCAGCAAATGTGGAACATGCTGTCTTTATCATTTCTTAGATAAATGATAATCACTTTTTTTTTCAGGCCACATAATGTATTGCCATTTTTTAGATGTGAAATTGATAAGACAATGGAATTCAAATTTGGATGAACAACATTATGATTTTTCTTTTTTGTTTTATTCAGGCAGATCTATAACCAGACTCTTGTCAATATGCTGTTGTAATTTGGAGTACTAATGCCCAGATTTCATGATTACTGAACCATGTAAAGCTACGTACCAGATATGTTTGGCAGTCAACTAGCTATTCTTTCACTTTTTAAAATTGGCTCTGAATCCCAGCTTCTGTCTGTTTTTATTTAATCTCTTTAAAAGCTTGGGGAGATAAATAAAGCCATTGATTATCGGACATGTGTTGTCTAGTTTGTGCTCGAAGAAGTTGTTCCTTTTCCTTGGATGTGAAGCAAAGACAGGCATTCACTACAAAGAAGATTAACAAAGTCAGACAAGTTAAAAATCTAATAGAGAGGAACATCCATTACTGAATGGGCCACCAGTCATGCCAAGAAAAGGCCATTAAGGAAAGCATGGACTCAGCTCCCTGTAGAAAACATTTGCGAGAGGAGCTCACTAATGGGTCAACAGAGAGGACTGTTTTCATCACTCAAACTAATTGGCATCTGTGAATCTGTAGCTTGAAGAAGGAAAAAAGGAACATGCTCAATGATATTGATTGGGTTTTCTGTGAAGGAGTGCAGCTGGATGATTTCAAAGCTCAGAGATGCAATAAACCTGATGAAGAGCCTCTCCACATATGAACATAAAGAGGTCCAGTGAAGCTGCAATGCTGGTCTTACTGGCTTTGAAGAAATGTCTCGCCTTTTGCTGGAAATGGTTACACAGGAAGAAAACTAATGCTTAGAAGTAACAAGAATCCAGAATTTAATATAAATTTTGATAGGCTTCAAGTTTGAGGCACTGCTCTGTATATCGCAATGGTATCTTCAACCAAGTCACAAACACAGACCGCTAATGAGCTCTGTGCAAATTGAGGAGGTCTCACGGATCCATTATGTCCTTGCTCCCATTGTCCAGGCCGTTCTCTGTATGAATCCATATCAGTTATTATTTTCCATAAATTGAGTTCCATCACTCCCAAGTCCCTGTAATTATTTGTCATTCTCAGTTCCACTTTATTGTGGGCAAAAGCGCTGGATGGCAAGCATGCAAGAAATTGAGGAAAGTGAAGCCAAAGATGAATACAGTGCTTGTCATGCATCACTGACTGCATCAAATGCATAGCTGCAGTCTGCTCAATAAAACTAATCAAACATGAATTTTAAAGGGTATTGACTTGGGTGGATTTGCAAGGGAAAGCATATTTGCCATCTAAGGAAAAGAGAATAGTGGAGTGGGGTGGGCTGAATATGGAAGATCAGAAGTCAGCCTAGTAGTGCAAGGACAGAAAGGGTACGACTATTTTTAACAGACTAATATTTAAACAAGGCACATACACTTTAGCTGGTTGCCTGTTTGTTGTATCAAAACCCACTGCTATTGTTCCTACTTTAAATCTGCTGCCACCGTACAACATACACGATCTTCAATTAAATACAAGGTGGGTGTTTTAACATTTGAAGTTGCAGTCATTGTTCTAAAAGCCCTTGGAAAAAGTATAATAGTCCTTACCTAATCTTTAGTAAGGACATAGAAGTCCATATTAAAGAAGAAATGATTGAAATTATGAATACATTCAAAGATGAAATGGATTGCATTTACATTTTGAAAGAAGTTGTGTTGTCAGCAAATCTTAGCTCTAGGCATCTTTTTAGGATGTTTTAGCTCACTGTTTTTGGTCCACCGTGTTACTGTTTTGGTTCCACACTGCTCACCACTGACCAGCAAACAACCAGCAAAAGCCTAGTGGATGCTAGTGACTGGATGATCAGTATAGGACATTATCATTACAGGCACAAATATATACATATACATTAAACCCCACAAATATTTGGTTAAATGTCCCTTAGCAAGTTGCACCTCAACCAGACACTTTTGGTAGTCATCAGCAAGCTTCTGAAAGGATTCTGTCTGGATATTTGGTCGCTCTTCTTTTCAGAATTGAGTAGGGTCGTAGGGTTTCCTTTCTTTGTTGGTAGCCCCTTAGTCCATGGTGATTTAAAACCCCCTTCATTGTGGACAGTGATGCTGGTTTTTCAGCACTCCCAGTTCATAGCAGGCTTGAACCTTGGTGGTTTCCTGGGTTGTTCCTAAACATCCTAACCAATTTCCTCAATCATGATAACTAATGAACCTAATAGAGACTGGCCTTGTCAAATTAAAACACTGTAATCTTCAGAATCACTTACTAAATGATGTTAAGTGCATGCTTGTCTATATTTGAGACATGTATGATTTTGACCCCGTGTGGATTATCGAAAAATTAAAATTGTGTACTCAGTTCTTGTTTTAGCATGTATGCTGTGCAGTCATTCCACTCTGGGCCTTTTAGTACTTTTGTCGCTTGCTTTCTCAGTTTTCTTGAAAACAGTTATAATCTTTCGTGCTGTTGAAGCCTGACTAAATATCTTTAATGTTTTTTGTTCTAGCTGCAGCGGCTGAAACGCTCCCTCTCCTTCAAATCGGTCATACGCAGCAAGAGTGTGGACAACTTTTTCCAGCGCAGCAACGGTGAATCACAGCCACCTTTATGCCTAACTGCCACATTGGCACCACCGGCATCTCCTCCCCCCATGTCTGAGTCCCCCCTGGCCTATGAACACTCTCCCTCTCTCTCTCCATCTATCAGTCCTAACCCTTCGTTGTCATCACACTCCCCGTCTGTCAGTCCTTCAATATATGGGACTTCCAAGATCCAGCCAAAGTGTCAGGCCCAGCCAGTGCAGCCAGTCAAGACCCACTGTTTCCAGGAGCATGTCTTCCGTAGGCCTACCAGCTGCCAGCGATGCAAACATACAATCCAAGGTAGGTCAGTTGTTCCACTTCAAGAACATCGTATTCACAGCAAAAAGATGCAACCATGTTGGCTCAGGGTGTAGGAATTAGATTGTTATCAATCTGTTTTCTGACATTTACCTTGATTTATAATGTTAGGGGCTTTTTTTGTTTTTGTTTTTTTGTTATTTGTATCTGTCCATGGTGGAAATAAACATGACAAAGAAAAAAGGCAAAATGCCACTTGAAATTCAAAGACAAACTGATATTCTTGAGTGTTAGAATTGAATTGTAGAATTTCTTTACTGTCCCTGTCATGATAATTCATAAAATATCTGAATGATCTGTTTCAACAGATATTCTACCTTTGTGTCAATGTGTGTGAGCAAATATTCCTAAAATGGTCATCTCAGACACAAGCCACACTCAGGACAGGCAGCCAGTCGTAAGAAAGCTGGATTAAAGTCAGGAGACTGAGAGTTAAAGTGGCTTGTTTTAGACAGAGTATGATGTGGAGGAGTGCCAGGATAATTAAGGATTAGTTTGAACTGCTATCATGCAAAGTTATCTGTCTAGATATAAAAACATGAAACTGGAAATGAGCATAATAGGTACCCTGTAATGGACTACCGGTATAGCTCATTTCTTATTATTGCCCAGTCACTGTGGGCAGTTTGCAGTCTATTTGCTCATTGGTCCCAATGAAATCATCCGACAGCAGGCTTTATGGACCTCTGTACATGCTTCCACTGGGAGTTGTTTTGCCTTCTTGTTCTGTTGGCATGCTGACCTATCTCAGCAGTGCTGTTTATGTAAAATGGGATTACCAGTAACATCCACCAAACTGATGTCTTTGTGTCCCTTTGTCTTTGGATGGTCATCAGTGTAGACCAATTTAAAACCATGTCAGTTTATGCACAAAGGCCATTTCTGAAGGTGGATATACTAACTGTGCCTAATATGTAACATTAGTTTTCTGTAACATTTTGCACACAAACTACAATGTATGTGAGTGACAGAGCTGGTTTATTTTATACTTGATACAGGAACCACAAATGAGGCACACATCTGGCACACCTCATCTTTGCTACCATTAGAATACCATCACTAGCTAATGATTGATTCAAAGCTACAGAAATATTTCCTCACAGGCTTATGGTAACACGTGTAATGTTTGGCGTTAATGCAGGAAACTCCAAGCAGGGCCTACGTTGTAAATCTTGCAAGATGGCCACCCACCTCTGGTGCTCCTCCGAGCTCTCCCAGCAGCCCTGTAATGGCAAGGTAAGGCTCTTTGCACCTTCATCAGATTGTTACACTTTAAGGATTGATTGAATGATAGCATACAATCTCAGTGGAAGTGTCTGAAATACCAAGATTTAAATATTTCACAGGTATAAAGTACTACTCAATCACTGGTTGGTTGGCTTTGTCTGAATATTATTTTCAGTGTACCTTAGTTGCTTTGCTCTTTACTGCCATCATCTCCCAACAGCTCTGCTTGATGTAGCCAAAAATTCTTGTCACTTAGTTAATTACCTTTCTATATGATGTGTTCTTGCATAGAGAATTTACTGAAAACGAGCACGTTCTCTGTAGAATGGAGACTAACACAGATTGCATTGTGCCAGCAGCTTTAAACAGCATCTGGATGCTGTAATTGTCTCTGTCACCTGGCATAGTGTTTTGTCTTGGTAATATGCTTAGCCTCAGATCCCTCCGTCTTGTTAAAAGAGGATAAAAGCCTTTTTCAAACCAAACCACCAAAGACAAAAAGGTATGGGTTATAATTGGAATCTTTATTGATGATGTTTTCACAGTAGACTGAGACTAAGTGTGAAGCCCGAGGGGAATAAAAGCTGTGGATGACACCTAGAATATACATGGCCAGGTCCAAATATTTTTCACTCTGCCTCTTTGCCCTTCCTCACACATGTGCTGCTCTTCTCACATGACGTCCTCTTCTCTCCCTCTCTCTTGTCTGCATGCTACATTTCCTTCCTCCCTTCTCAACTCAGTTGGAAAATCAATATCTCTCTGTACCAGCTGGTCTGGCTAATTCAGTGTGAAATTCAGTGTGTTTGAGGCGTACAATCCCTTGAGGATATGACACGGCAGGCTTTCGCCAAGCCTTCGGCAGTGTCCTTTTCGATCACTGTGCGGTCATCAAAGCAGGGATTAGGCATTTTACTGAAACTGAATGGAGTTCAAGGCTACATCAACGTACATTAAGGGGTTCACTGACTCCGAACAAAAGCATGCCACCCAAAAGTTTTGTGTACAAAACATACTCTTCAATGTAAATTGCAGTTGGATTACAATTACTGTGTGTCAATTTCTCAGGTACAATTCATAAATGATTTAAAATTGGAGAAAAAATGTAAAGGGAACAAATTAAAGTCGGAAAAACTTACATGTGTGGCAATTCATGTAAAGTAGCCAGGTTTCCAATTTTGTATACATGTTACTAAAGTTAAGTCCCCAAAAACAGGAGCTCTGGTGCAATCGTAAGTCCTTCCAGGCGTGAACTCCACTGTCTTTTAAGGACATTTAAAATAATAAATCTGTTTAAAAAATCACTTAACATATTCTGTGTTTTGTTTTTGTTTTTTTTAATTCATTTTTACACTTTAAAATGTTTCGTTTATATTTATGCCCAAGTCTTCAGTGTGTTTATCTGTTCTAGGGCTGCAGCCAGAACAGTAATAACTAACAGAGCCTAACGATACCACCATGGAAATTTATAGTTACTGCTTTTTAATCCTTCTTGACTGGAAATTAATCATAAGTGATCCCAGAAGTATTATTTTTTAATTTAATGTCATATCATTGTTATAAGAGTTACGTGACCCAGAAGAAGAAAGGAAAAAATTCAAAGCTTAACAAATGAACAGTATATTTTTTCCTTTGAAATTTATTCTCTTGGGTTTGAGTAATGAAAAAAAATCTTAAACAAGCATTATTACATGAGGAGAATGGTCAAACAAAAAAAATCTGAGTGGCTTAGACCTTAGAAAGCACAAGAGAGATATTGATGACTGCGCTCTTCTTGGCTCACTCTCAACCCATTTGCTGAGTGCACCGATATATGACCAATTACTTTAAAACGTCTCCAGAATCAAGCAGCTTTAAATTGGCTTGGAATCATGACAACTTTTTGCTAATCAATGCTAATTTGAATTAAAGATGAATTACAGTATTATTAGAACTAGGCCTGCTGCATTGCACAAAATCGTTGCTTCTGTGTGAAGTCTTTATACAGTTCAGAAATCTGAATCCAGTTTTAATCTTAAATAAGTGTGAACTTTCAGCTTGTCTGCTCCCCTAAAGACTAAGCCATTCCAGTAATACTGTCACAATCGTAAGATATTGTGATACTTACACAAAAACCTGTTTTCAGTTAAAAGAAAATATGGTAAGGGTTAAATACAAATAAATAAAGGCTGGGTAAAAATTTACCCAGCCTTTATTTACCCCAAGGACAGCTGGGGTTCACAGCTGTCCTTGTCTTAGAGACAGTAGGTATGTGTAAAGTGATGGCCTGCTTGCTTTCGAAATATGGAGATGTGCATAGAAATTTAAGCTACTGAGTGATCCGGGTTCTGGATAAATAAAGTTACCGCTCACTCTTTAATGTGAAAGAAAGGTTTGTGTGCTTAAGAACATTTTCTACCTACAGTTTTGAGCACAGTTTATTTTAATTGGGAGCATTTGCTGAATAGTTGAGCCCAGTTGTCTCTCAGTAATTAGCAAAAGTGTGAGAGTGAAGCATTTGCTATATTTATTTACTGAGACCTGTGTGTGTGTGTGTGTGTGTGTGTGTGTGTGTGTGTG